TTGGTGACTATTGTAGAGTCACCAAAACCATTTACACCAGAATGCCGTATTACGCTGCATTGTATACCTACTCTATACTGAATTAAAAAAAAATGTTAAAGACTAACGATACAGTCCTGATTTAAAAAAATATCAATAACGATAACAGAACTCACAATATTAAAGAAAACATCTGTAATACTCAAGTATACAAACACAGAAAAGATTGTAAAAAATGCCCTAATACCTTAATACCTTCTTGGCTGCTATAACTGCCTGTATACGTCCGCGCATGCTGTCATTGATGCTGCATGTATCATATTACGTTAAGTTTTCCTATTCTTCTTTAAGAACCACGCGAAGTTCATGTAATGAAGCTGGTACTGCTTCGAGACCTCTAACCCTCCTGTCAAGCATTTCCCAAACGTCGAACATGACAGGCAGTTCATAGTGGTATATAGTCATTATATAGTTCACAACAACCACCAAAGCTGCCTTGTCATATTGAAAAATAACTTCAAAAGAAAGTGATTATTGAAAAAATTGCAAATTGTTGGTGGCAAATTCATTTTGCTCTTAAAGATTAACTAAGGCGTTAACTTGACATGATCCAAAAAACAAAATGCTCAAGAGACATTGTTCTGACCGTAAAATTGTATTTTAGGAAAATTTACACACGAAATTATTGCACAGGGTGTTTTGTTTTAAAGTTAAGGTAAAAAACGACCCCTCGATTAACCCTGTATAATAAGCGAAATACTAAAGTATATTATATTACCGAAGTTTGCGAATTAAAGTTTATATAATTACATAAAGCTTGCTAAAAAATTAATGAAAATAGGGCTAAAAATAACAAAAATATAACACTTTAAATCTGACCAAAAATTTCTCTGTTGCGTTTTTTTTTGCATATGAGTGTACATATGTACAAACAATCCTGAAATAATACACCATAAACATGTTCTAAAGTGGGAGATAACAGAGAGTTAACAGTGCACTAAGTTAATAATAATAGTAGAGCTACATATTTTCCAATGACCTTTCGACTTGTATATCTCTAGAGTCATTATCAAGTAACAACTAAACTAACATCACTAAAGTTACTTCAAACACTTGATGTCGAAGTAACTGGACTTATATTAAATGAAAATTACACATCACTAATTATAACATCTAGGCGTCTTTTACCCCGTTTTTTCTTTTCGACCATACGGTATATTTTTCCAATACTAAAATTATACCGTATACTCGAAAAAAAATGGCGTCCAGTTGACTTGGAAATGGACGATCGATGACATTTCCCACATAAGTTTACATAGAAAACGATAGCGATCTTCATTCAATAGCTATCACTGACGCCCTTTTTTGTTTTCGATCATACGGTGTATTACCTTAAAAAAATCTTTACCTCAAAATAGAACTTGAAAAATATGAGTCTAGATATTTCAAGCATGATCTAACGTAGGCCAATAAACTAAACATAACGATTGTTTGGTTTGTGCGACTAATACCGATTTACAAGCTATAAATTATTGAATAATTTGACAAGTATAGGACGGAAAAAAACTTTGAACGTCACATAGACGATAATGATAATTTTTTCCGAAATTTTTTTTCTGTAAAATAAGTGATAAAATAGTTCACAGAAACTAATTTTTAAACGCTTTCAAAAAATGTTAATATCATTTCATCCTCCCTATCCAGTAAGTAAAATGTTCACAGTTCAGTAATACATTAATTATTAAACTCTAAATGTAATAAATTAAGCTGTGGTAAATCTGATATTCGCGTATACAGGATGGTCCGAACTGTATTCCGGAAACGTCGGCAGCATATTCTGCAGATAAAAGTAATTAAAAAAGTTCGTATAAATGTATGTCCTTAAATGCTTAGTTTCGGAGATACAGGGTGTAGAAGTTTCATTTTTATTTCGTTTTTTTCCAAATAATTTCTGAAGTAACGTCAATATTTGGATGAAAATTGGTATCTGGCAGTTTTTTGACATGATAAATTGATTTTGATGTCAATATGACTACTACTAGTAGAGGGCGCCACCTACATATTTTTTAACTGGTTTGAAGAGTAATAACTTTTCGTCCGTACCTGTATAAAACTACTGAGTAAAAAAATATACATTTACGACGTTTTTTACGTGAAAAAAGGTCTTTTGGTAAAAATCGCTATGAGTAATAGTTTTCGAGATGTTTGGAAATTATCAATACCTGAATGACATAAATTAAACATGTTGACTAAATAATTATTAGACTGAAATCATAAATTTGAAATATTTTTGTGCCAAAAGTTCAACAGAAACTGTTTTATCATCATTTTTTGCAGAAAAATTTATGATTAATTTAAAAAAATAAAAATTTCCCAAATTTATTTTTTCAGTGAAATAACTATCTACTCATCGTGTTTATATTTCGTCAATAATGCCATGTATTGACTATTTCCATTCTAAATATCTTAAGAACGGTTGCTCGTAGCGATTTTTACAAAGAGATATTTTTTACGTAAAAAGTCACAGAAATGTATATTTTTCGCTTTTTATACAGGTACGGACAAAAAGTTAGTTCGCTTTAAACCAGTTAAAACACATATAGGTGGCGCCCTCTACTAGAAGGAGTCATATTGACATCAAAATCAAATTTCTCATGTCAAAAAAACTCCTAGACACCAATTTTGAACCAAATATTGACGTTACTTCAGAAATTATATGGAAAAAATCGAAATAAAAATGAAACTTCTACACCCTGTATCTCCGAAACTAAGCATTTTTGGACATACATTTATAGGATCTTTTTTACTTAATTTTATCTGTAGAATATGCTGCCGAAGTTTCCGGAATACAGTTCGGACCACCCTGTATAACGACAATAAATGTTTATTACAAAAATAATTACAAACATGACGTTCCTTTATTCAGTGGCGTCACATAGGGACCAATAGTCCTAATATATTAAGATTGGAGAGAGAACAAAGATATTGCCATCCAAAATTAAAAAAACAAATGTTTAAACTAACACATATTTCAAATCAAACTTGTTATAAAATTTTTCTAAATTTATTTTAAAAGAATCAGTGGCGTACCGTTTTTTTTCCTTAAAAAATATTCAACGAAAAGCTCGAATGGACGCCACTGGTTGAAATAAATAAAATTGTTTTTACATCAAAAAAGGAATTTTGGTGCATAGAACACAGAACAGAAATATATGTAACAACATAAGGCTTATTATTAAAAAAATACTACCTTATGACCACCTTTATATCAAAATCAAAAGTGTATGTATGTATGAACATACTGACGGACATATATTCATACAAAGTTTTTTTTCTTAACATAGCTCCAAAAATCACGCCCTTATACAGGGTGGTCCGAACTGTATTCCAGAAACTTCGGCAGTATATTCTGCAGATAAAAATAAGTAAAAAAGTTTGATCTCAATATGATTCCTACATGTAGAGGGAGCCACCTACATATTTTTTAAATTGTCTGACGAGAAATAATTTTTCGTGCGTAACTGTATAAAACTACTGGGTAAAAAAATATACATTTACGACTTTTTTTACACAAGAAAGGTCTTTTGGTAAAAGTTGCTACGAGTAATGTCATCATTGGCATAAATTAAACATGTTGACTAAATAGTTATTAGAATGAAACCATAAATTTCAAATATTTTTGTTAACAAACCAAAATTTTAACAGAATCTGTTTTATCCTTATTTTTCCAAAGAAAAAAATATGATTAATTTAAAAAAAAAATTCCCAAGTTTATTATTTCAGTCAAATAACTATCTGCTCAACATATTTACTTTTTAGTCAATAATGACATATATTGACTATTACCATTCTAAATATCTTGAGAACGATTGCTCGTAGCAATTTTTACCAAGAGACATTTTTGACATAAAAATCACGAAAATGTATATTTTTTTGCTCAGTAGTTTTATACAGGTACGCACAAAATGTTATTACTCTTCAAAATAGTTAAAACACATGTAGGTGACGCCCCCTACAAATAGGAGTCATACTGACATTAAAATCAAATTTCTCATGTCAAAAAACTCCCACACACCAATTTTTATCCAAATATTGACGTTACTTCAGAAATTGTTTGGAAAAAATTGAAATATAAATGAAACTTCTACACCCTGTATCTCCGAAACTAAGCATTTTAGAACATACATTTATACGAACTTTTTTACTTATTTTTATCTGTAGAATATGCTCCCGAAGTATCCGGAATACAATTCGGACCACCCTGTAGGTTAGCATGTCATTAAGAACTCAATAACTTTTTTTTTATTTTTTCGGACAAAAAACATGATTTGGTATGTTAGTATATGACATAAATTAGGATCGATTGACGTATATTCAACTGTTTTTGGTCACTTCCTGTTTCGTTGACCGCAAAGAACAACTTTTGATTTTTAAATGACACCCTCGGTATGTTTTTACTTTATTCGATAGAAAAGGATTGAATAGAAACTAATTTTTAATCAAGGAGCCTTGGAAAAATAGATGTCATTGTCTAATGTTTTTCGTGTCTTGTCATGGCCGGTTAATAATGACAGATGCCCAAATTGTATTTTTAATCATATTTCATTTTTTTCAAATGGAACAAGGGTGGTATAGTATAGGACACTCCTATACACCTGTATGAATTTTCCGGAAAAGAAATGACTATACAAGCAGATAGTTTATTTTATGAGACGAGATTACTTATCGTTAATCGAAGTTTTTCTATACATTCACACCTAATCCATCTTTTTTTTGATAAGAACCCATAGACAAACTTCATTAAATAACAATTTAGTACTTAACTTAGTTCTAGGATGTAAACGTCCTATATAGATTCTACTAATATGTTTGTTTACACTAATTAAGGTAGTTTCACATCGATGGACTAAGTAAAGTCTGCTGCGCCCTAAGTTTTGTTTACTTTTCTGGTTAATGAATTGTGCTAAAAAAATAGAGAACAGTGAGTGTTTTTTGTAAAGGCAGTTTTTTATTGTTTCTAGAATAAAATGGATGCAGGCATGCAGGCTAAGAAGTTTCCTCAGTATATAGCAGCTCTGTCAGGTAAATAAATATTCTATGTCTTTTTGTTTCAAACAAAAACCCCTTTTGCTCGGCATCCAATGAAAAGTATTGTTATAGTCTATCCAACAAAAGGATACATGACAGTGCTGGCTATGTCTGTCATTTTAATGCACAGGTAAATTCTATTTTCTGACCTTTTTTGGATGCTTTAGAAATCTTCCTTGACTGGTTGGATAGACCTTGTCTATAATTATAGTAATTTCGTATACTTTCAAATATCTAGCTGTTTTTTTTTGTGATAATACAGGATTTTCTACGATGTTCTCTATGGGTATCTCGGAAACTACTGGAGATAGAGACTCGATTAAATGGGGAAAGAATTGCAGTTTTGTGGGGTCATAAATATACGCCTTTCCGATTTTTGAAAAAGTTCATGGCTTACTAGATATTTCGAAAAAAAAACAGATTTCCGCTATTTTAAAAATGGTCTCTAATTCCATTATAATCTATTTTAGACAAAAAGTTTTCAGATAAAAGTTGTAGATAATCACATCTTTAATGAGACTGTGTTCTCCGATTCTTTCTAAAGCCTATCATTTTTGACATATGACACAAACTTATGTTTTTTTAAATGGAAACCATAGTTGGCCATGACTTCATACTCTCAAATATCTAGCTGTTTTTTTGTGATACACTGGGTGAGTTTTCTACGATGTTCTCTATGGGTATCTCGGAAACTACTGGAGATGGAGACTCGATTAAATGGGGAAAGAATTGCAGTTTTGTGGGGTCATAAATATACGCCTTTCCGATTTTTGAAAAAGTTCATGGCTTACTAGATATTTCGAAAAACAAAACAGATTTCCGCTATTTTAAAAATGGTCTCTAATTCCATCTATTTTAGACAAAAAGTTTTCAGATAAAAGTTGTAGATAATCACATCCTTAATGAGACTGTGTTTTCCGATTCTTTCTAAAGCCTATCATTTTTGACATATGACACAAACTTATGTTTTTTTAAATGGAAACCATAGTTGGCCATGACTTCATACTCTCAAATATCTAGCTGTTTTTTTTGTGATACACTGGGTGAGTTTTCTACGATGTTCTCTATGGGTATCTCGGAAACTACTGGAGATGGAGACTCGATTAAATGGGGAAAGAATTGCAGTTTTGTGGGGTCATAAATATACGCCTTTCCGATTTTTGAAAAAGTTCATGGCTTACTAGATATTTCGAAAAACAAAACAGATTTCCGCTATTTTAAAAATGGTCTCTAATTCCATCTATTTTAGACAAAAAGTTTTCAGATAAAAGTTGTAGATAATCACATCCTTAATGAGACTGTGTTTTCCGATTCTTTCTAAAGCCTATCATTTTTGACATATGACACAAACTTATGTTTTTTAAATGGAAACCATAGTTGGCCATGACTTCATACTCTCAAATATCTAGCTGTTTTTTTTTGTGATACACTGGGTGAGTTTTCTACGATGTTCTCTATGGGTATCTCGGAAACTACTGGAGATGGAGACTCGATTAAATGGGAAAAGAATTGCAGTTTTGTGGGGTCATAAATATACGCCTTTCTGATTTTTTGAAAAAGTTCATGGCTTACTAGATATTTCGAAAAACAAAACAGATTTCCGCTATTTTAAAAATGGTCTCTAATTCCATCTATTTTAGACAAAAAGTTTTCAGATAAAAGTTGTAGATAATCACATCCTTAATGAGACTGTGTTTTCCGATTCTTTCTAAAGCCTATCATTTTTGACATATGACACAAACTTATGTTTTTTTAAATGGAAACCATAGTTGGCCATGACTTCATACTCTCAAATATCTAGCTGTTTTTTTTTTGTGATACACTGGGTGAGTTTTCTACGATGTTCTCTATGGGTATCTCGGAAACTACTGGAGATGGAGACTCGATTAAATGGGGAAAGAATTGCAGTTTTGTGGGGTCATAAATATACGCCTTTCCGATTTTTGAAAAAGTTCATGGCTTACTAGATATTTCGAAAAAAAAACAGATTTCCGCTATTTTAAAAATGGTCTCTAATTCCATTATAATCTATTTTAGACAAAAAGTTTTCAGATAAAAGTTGTAGATAATCACATCTTTAATGAGACTGTGTTCTCCGATTCTTTCTAAAGCCTATCATTTTTGACATATGACACAAACTTATGTTTTTTTAAATGGAAACCATAGTTGGCCATGACTTCATATAAAAAGTGCAATTTTTAATCTTTTTAGCGATATAAGCTATAATATGTTTTTTTCGAAAAATTACTGAGTTATAACCAATTCTTATCTTTCTTGACTAATTTCACTTAGTTGGCTGATATCCTTACTATGTTATTTATTTAATTATTATAATTTATGACTTATAAAAGACAAAATATTTTATTAAACAGGTCTTTACAATTTACATTATACAAACTTAAACTTAAAAAATAATACCACTACATACAGTTTAAGTTATTTTAGAAAATATTCAAAAAATATACCGCACTAAAAAGATCTAAAATATAGGTCAGGTCATCGAGGCCCATGCAATTGGCCCACCTCTTCCTATCCTTAAGTTTAAATAATTATGATATAAATAATTTGAACATTTTTTTCATTATGGGGGGGGGAGTGTTATAATGAAAGTCATGTTGGAATCACTCTCTTAAAAATTGTTCTCTAAAAAGCGTATGTAACGTATTTTCGAAAATGTATGGCCAAGAAAAGTTGAACTACTAATCCTACACGTCCTAACAATCCTTTTCTTCATTTGAAAAATTAATATTTAAAATTTTTGCTTATTTTAATTTACAAAGTCTGGATGTGACAGTTTGACATTTCTGAGAGCAACGACGATTGAAATTATTTCTATGGCTAACCAAGTGAAATTGTTTAAAAATGATAAGAATTTGCTATAACTCAGTATTTTTTCGAAAAAAAACATACATAGTTTATTTCACTGAAAATCTTAAAAAAACCATAAGTTTGTGTCATATATGTCAAAAATGACAGACTTAAGTAGAACACAATCTCATTAAGGATGTGAAATTTTTTAAATAGCTAAAATTTGTTTTTTCGAAATACCTAGAAAGCCATGAACTTTTTAAAAAATCTGAAAGGCGCATATTTATGACCCCGCAAAACTGCAATTCTTTCTTCATTTAACCGACTCTCTATCTCCAGTAGTTTCCGAGATACCCATAGAGAACATCCTAGAAAACTCACCCTGTATATTATGAACCAATAATAGTAATCCTAGAATATCAAACTAACCGTGTCTGGTACACACTTTAAACAATGCGTTTCTAAGAGCTAAATGGAATATATTCGATAATAAATAAATTGGAGCATGTTTGGAGAGACATTTTCAATTATTGTACCCCCTTCAATTGATATTTTCGGTTGCGCATTTTTCTCAACAAAAACTTTTTATACAGGCTGTATCATGAGCAGTGTCTAATACCAACTTTTCTATTTTAACACTCCGTACTATATTCAAAATTTGTTTTTTTAGAAAATTCTAGACATATTTCATAGACATGATAATAATCCTAAAACTAGTAATGCTTATCTTCAACTGTTTAGAAAATATTAAGTGACAATAGTGACATTATATCAGGCAGAATGTGAATCTCTGCTACAGGACAATTAGTTGTCAGTGTTATACAATAATCAGAAAATATACACACTTTAGCTGTGAGTTAAAATGAGAGACAACTATCACTGTCAGGTATTCTCTCGTTAGGCAAACGTTAAAGAAATATTTTTTTAGAAGTAGATTAATGTACGGATGTTAGAAGTTAGAACTCACTTGTCTGAATTTTTCAAAAACGTAATAAGCCCCATAGTTTGATGTTAGGCAATCATCGATATTATTTGTACAGTTGTTTAAAAAAAAATGAATACGACTCTTTACACATTTTTTTCGATTTTTTGTGCAGTGTATATTTATGTGTATATTATATATATTATATATTATGAGATCAATACTAACAAAACAGAATAAATGTGTATCGGAGGAGAACAACAAGATCTAATACTAGAAGGGAAGAAAATTAAGTGCTGCACAAAATACAAATATTTGGGTATGCAAATCACAAATGATGGACTGTTGGATACAGCAATTAAAGAACGAAACCAACTTGGAAGGAATGCTATCACGGTATTGAATGGGATACTGTGGGACAGAAGCATAAACAACAAGAACAAAACTCTAATATACAATGCCATCATAAAGAGTATAACCACGTACAGCTGTGATGTCTGGCCAATTAAGGAAACAACAAAACGAATGCTGGAAGCTACAGAGATGGATTTTTGGAGAAAATCAGCAGGCAAATCAAGACTCGAGCGAATAACTAATGAACGCATAAGAGAGATTATGGAAGTTAAACATACCATAGTGGACGACATAAAGACCAGTCAACTCATATGGTACGGGCATGTCCAAAGAATGGCAGAAATAAGAATCCCAAAGCAAATTATAACTGGTATCATAGAATATACTGCCCGAAATAGTTAAAATATGTTTTAAATCGTATTCACTTTTATTGGAACCAGCTGTACATTAAATAAAAAATACATCTCTATAAAATCATCGGCTACAGAACTCTAAAAGACAATTTGAGAAGAAAGTTGATAAGCTATTGTTACATGCACACCCTGTATAGAAGGTTTCTGTTGAAGGAATGTCCCAACAACTATAAATATAAATTCAATTTCAATTAAAAAAAAATTATTTTTATGAATACTCTCCTGCAGGCCATTTAATAATTCCAAAATAGTTGAAGATAGGTAAAAGCTATTATACATGAAATATGTCCAGAATTTCCTAAAGAATTCAAAAGTTGAATAATATACAGGGTCTTGTATTTAAAATACAAAAGTTGGTATTGGCAATTGCTACATGACACATACTGTATAAAAAAATTTTGTTGGAAAACGCGCAACCTGAAATAACGATCGATCTGTCCGAAGATTTTTCTGAACACGCATTTATTTATTATGAAAATTACCTATGTCATATTGTT